TCCATTTAATTCATTTCTAACCAGGTAAATTCCGTTGAATTTAACAATCTCTCACAAAGTAGACCTGACCAAGACAGCAGCATACAAAAAAGTTACAGCCAAATACAATTTAAAAAAAATAAAAGATACACTGTAACATGAAGAAATCAAAACAACACCTGCACAGAATGACAAGAGCCATTTATCCTTGTACTTATGAGAGTTTTAAAATCAAGAGGAGAGACAAAGTTTCAACTTGTTTTGAGGGTTATTCTGAGTCAGAGGAGCAGAGCACATAAAAGCTTTCTTTCCAAGCTCAGTCCGTGCACTAGGAACAGACAACAAAACTAAGTCTTGAGATCTCAGACTGTAGCTACAGTCACATCTCTGTTCAGTCAAAGTACAAATGTACAGAGCCTACGAAAGGTCAAAGGTATTTGTTCATTTATAAAGCCAGACTGGGTAAAATAAATATGCTTGTTACTAACGTAATACTATGTCATGTAACATACATCACTAGATGGTATGCTACATATACTAGCACACGGCACTGTTACTAAAACAAAATGGTTGACTTCTGGGTGAACATGGGACACAAACAGCAAGCTCCAAGGTAAAAGTCCAGAGTTTGTTTGACCAATCCACCTCTCCTCCTGTCCACCTAGAGGGACTTTCTCACTCTCTATACTACGGCAGTTGCAGTGGGCCAGTGACAGTGCGTCGGTATTTGACACAGTGGTAGTGATACCTGGTTGTTACATTTTCTCTCTATTTCTTTCATTTAGTATTGTCACACTGCTGAGATGTTTTTATGGGATTTTTGTCTGATGACACGAGGGAAAAAAATGACGACCCAAGCTTTAAAAAAGATTCATAAAGATTGAATCAACCACCAGCAGCTGATTAGACTCCTTCTTCTCTTGTTTGATCACTTCTAAATCAAACACATATCACCATCACTCCATCCTAATACAAAAACTCTATGTGAGCCCACTTTAAATTGTCTGCACTCTGTATTCCCTGCCATGAATGTGATGGGTTCGGGGAAGCAGCGTAATGCTTCCCAAGGTTTCCATTGGGCTGGTGAGTGATGCGAGTAATCATAGTGCCTGTGGACGAATCATGAGTGATTGTCCCTCAGGGGAGACCATAAACCCAACAACAGCTACAGACGCATTTTGTCTTGTGTCGTCCACAGTATTGTACGTCTGGACCCATTTCTCTCTCTTTTACAACACATTTCGACCACATCTCAACATTGTGTACAGAGATAGATAACCTATGGCTCATCATATACACTCAGTCTGCTGCCATTACAGAGAGCACCTACCCTGCACTCATACATTGCAGTATTTTTAGTCCTCTTTATTAGGGGGATAGATAGCCCTCTAATCTAACCCTGTATGTCATCATAGCTCCCACAGCAGTAGCAGGTGTCATATACTGTTCTCCCACACAGCTGTAACTGAATTAAACTTAGTGAATTTCCTTCCTGAGTGGCTGTGTAACTCATTTCATGCTGGTGGCATGTGTCATAGACTCACTTGAGCTATTGTTGTTGAGACGAAGTGTGATGATCAGGGCTTCAGTGTCAGGGTTGTGTAGCTATACAGGCGAGATAACTGCTGAGATCAGAATGTACTGCCGAGCCCTCTGGAGCTGTCATGGATGAACTCAATGAAACATATGTAAAGGGAGGTGTCTGTTTGATAACCAATGCGACCTCTCTGCCCCCACTGCTTCCCTCCGCTCATCTCACACTCACTAAAAGGCACTCACCCTTTCATATCTTACCTGTTACATCAGATCTGTTTTTTATTGTTAACACCTCTTAGATTTTATGTAACAAAGAAGCTTAAAGCTCTTTAATAGCTACATTTTTCACTCAAACATATGTACTATCATGACTGAAAGGACCCAGACTGAAATGAGTGTCTTGCTATTGTGTACTTTCTTTTTATCTGATTGCAATACACTGTCCTTCACTCCCTTACTTTGAGCTAAATGCTGCAATATGACCACATGCTCACATTGTTCAGGGTGTTCTCATCCACTGTTAGTACATATTCCTACGAAAACTAATGCACCACAATTCACACACTGCCAGTATTCTGCTTATAACCAGCATAATGACCACACGACGGGAGTGAATAAGGAAGTAGTCCACATAAGAATGCAGGATAGGGTGGTGGATAGGTCACTCAACATGGGGTTTTCCCTTGGAGACTGGTATTTGGAACCATGTGAAACCAAGGGATCCTCATGTCATTTTCAGGTAATCACCATATTTCTTTTATTCAACCTAACCAAAGTAACTTTACTTACCTAAAAGCAACCTATGTAACTTGTAATGTTGAGTACGTAACATCATTCGTGGAGCGTAAATTTGTTGGAAATCATACGAACCGTTGTATGAGGATACGTTGCATTTGTAAGCAGGTATCATTTTACCTTACTCACCATATTAATTTAGCCTGCAAGCATGCTAACATAGGTTCATTTGCACTAAACGTATACCTGGGAGTGTCATTCATTTTGCAAGTATTTTGTCATAAACATAGTATGTAACAGTAATGTAGCATAGTATGCTATACATACTAGCACACTACATTGTTATTAAAACAAAATGGTTGACATTTGGGTTGACATGGGACACAAACAGCAACCTCCCAGGTAAAGGTCCAGAGTTTGTTTGACCAATCCACCCCTCCTCCTGTGCACCAAGTCAGACTTTCTCACTCTCTTTCCTAAAAAGGAGCTGCCTGGTGGGTCTCATACGCCACTAAAGTGTGCCTCAGTGTCTGATGCTGAGGGCCAGTGACCAACCATTGGTATTTGATGACTTGAGTGAGACCGGGTTGTTGCAACATTTTCTCTCTATCTCTCTCTGTCTCTTTCATTTATTGACAGACTGCTGAAATGTTTTTACAGGAATTTTGACAACCCAAGCTTTAAAGAAGATTCATTAAGATTGAATCAATCACCAGCAGCTGATTAGACGCCTTCTTCCCTTGTTTGATCACTTGTAAGGCCTCTGGAGCTCTGGGTGATGCATGATAATGTTGCTAAATGAGAAGTTGGAGGAGCACAAAAGTCATTTAGATACATCATCTTGGAATGTAACAATGTTGTGCCAATCCATCTTGTATGTTATGTTGAGATATTTCCCAGATTAAGTGAACATTTTGACCTTCTTGTGGCACAAGTCATAAGAGTTCATCCTGTGGGATACATGAATATCTGCACACATTTCACAGCAATGAATTCAATACTTGTTGAGCTATTTCAGTCTGGACAAAAGAGTGGACCAACTGAATGACAGAGTAAATGATTAACTGACATTGCCATCCATTGATGGATTGCGCACATGGCTAAAAACTCAGTCTTCCACATTATGCTGAGAATTTTACCCACCTGTGGATGGTCCCAGATCTACAAAGGAGGTCCAAACAAACACCCCTCATTAATGAAAGATAAATGAGCTTGCTGAACTCCCAAAATGAGCCAGATCTTTTAATCACTGCTCCTCATCATAGGAAGATGCACATAATCTATCTTTAGAAGGAGCAGTAAAGAGGGAGGCAGCAGAGCTTTTGTTCAGCATGATGGCCCTGTTCTTCTGACTGTCCCTCTGATGGCGGTAGCTTAAAGGCTGATTTTGTAAAGGTCACTTTGCCGCAGTTATGAACACTACGAACACAGCCACAGGAGAACTTTGATCTGTCTGTGTTCAAATAAACAATCACCCCTGAGAAGCATTCTAAAACAGCCTGCACACATGCATGCTTTATTTTCAGCAGATGTGCACGATCACATGCAGCTGCATGTTCCTAATGGTTTCTGATGTTCTCAGTAATGGGCGACAGACAAAAGGCAGCCAGACAGAAAAAATGAGTGCTCTTATGAAAATTATGAAAAGACACACCTGCTTGGCATTAAAAGCCAAACATTTGTGTAAATAAGAATTTACGTAACATGGTGTCAGCTGCAGGCCGAGCAATGCATTCGACTGGAAATGAGCATTGATTATTTCAACTAATTTAATGCCCAAGATATATGCATGCATGTATTTTTTCACAAACCAACAGTGAATCTCTTTTATCCAGGGATGAGACATGTTCCACAGAGATGACGTTGTGGTGGGAACAGTGGTCTTGAAAAACCTGGAAGGAAAGTTTGGTTTTGTTTGCAGTTTTGCATTTATCTATTTTTATTTTATTTGAATTACTCATTAATTAGGGCCATAATCAAATGAAATGGCTGAAAGAAAAAACTTTGTATAAAAGAAATAGTACAATAGAACTAGGAAGACAGGAAAGGAAAAGAAAGCAAACTGCCTGTGTAAAGGAAAAATCAAAAGATGTGGGGGAGAGACATGAATCATGGGACCCACAGAGACTGTTCATGCACAGGACCCAGAATTTGAGGCTACACCCCTGCATTAAAAAAAATCAAGGACAAGTAAATCATTTTTCCTCTGGTTAAACATAAGGTGCATTAAATATTGACCCACAACAAATACAGAGTTCTCAAATGTGCCTGCACGTTTGTTTGGCTGCATCAGAGTGTTTGCTCATTCAGCTGTAAATGATACCAACACAACAATCCAGACAGCGAATGTAAACATTAACGCAGGAATCCGCGCATCTGTCTTGCTGCTATAGGCTGTCAAAACCATCTTAAATATTTAATCAGCCCTGCCACTGAGAGGTAATTGCATCACTCCTGTGGTTTAGTCAGGTAATTTCATGGAGGTGACTGCCTGCTGACAACAGTCAGTCCTCGGATACGGCTCCCTGCGCGCGGGCCACAGGCCACAGAGAGCGGGAGGAGTGGTACCACGGGGTTGACGGCAGGCAGGCAGCAGTAAGAGGGATGGCTCAATAAAGACGCGTCTAATTGAGCTGCAACAATGAGAGATGTTCAAGTTGGCTTTGATTGACAGTGTTTGATTGGCTGCTGGGTGGCAGGTGGAACAACGGGCTGTTATTTTGGATAACAGCCAGGAAGGAGAATAATAAAAAAAAAAATGTGATGAAGCGTTATTGTATGCTCGAGCTAATTAAAGCACTTTGACGAATGGTATCCCTTTGGGCAGGGTAATATTTAGGCAGGAACGCACATCTTGCTTTGTGCGCCAGTGCGCTTTGCCAAAGGGAGCGCGCGCAGAGACGCACGGAGAGAGGGAGAGACAGGGAGAACAAACCTCCTCTGGGCGCCTCATTACTAATTTGCCGTCCACTTCGCGTGCGCTCCTGTGCACCTGCTTTTGGAAATATTGCTCTCCGCGCGCTACGATCTCACCTGAATTCTTTCAGAGATGGCCTTTCCTTCCTCCTACTACGCTTTGGGTGATTTTAACGACTCGATCTCAACAACTCCTTTCAATGTTACCGAGGATCCGCTGCGCGTGCTTTCAAACGTCAAAGAGAGCAACACGGTTGCAGCCAGGGACACTACGAGTCTCATCATCGCTGTTTGTATCACGGCTCTCTACTCTCTCATCTGTGTGGTGGGACTGCTCGGAAACGTGCTTGTCATGTATGGAGTGGTCAGGTAAGAAATGCACGAGGAACAAAGTCCTGTCAACTATTTTGTAAAAGAGAAAAAAAATATTAAAAAGGAAGAGAAAGAATGGGTTATGTGTGACAAAGTGGATATCGGATGGATATATATATACAGTACATGCTGATCAGTGAAATGTGACACACACACACACACACACACACACACACACACACACACACACGATTTGTTGTTGAACTAATGCAGTTTAAATGAGTCTCCAGTGTCAATCAGTCATCTATCTATCTATCTATCTATCTATCTATCTATCTATCTAATAAACTCACTTTTTATAAATATTTGATACTGTTATAGTGATTTTTAAGAATGGCATATGTAAAAAAAACTGCTATATCCCCTCAGTTATGATGGTCCTTTGTAACTGCCCACAGTTTCATTTTGTCTGAGAGCCACTCTCTAACACACCCACACATAAACACACACACACCACCACCACCACCTACACACCAGATGTGGGGAGAGGGAGGGCAGTGTGATCTACAGTTTAGCGTTGAAATTACCTCATTGCACCAATTACTCCTGTCAGCAGTAATGTTGTAAACTCAGATAACTCATTTGCATGGGAAATAAGTAGCATGTTCAACCCTAACCTGCACATCAGAGGCATCTCTTTGTCTCTGTGGCACCGATTCACGCGCTAAAGATTCTGTGGGATTTATGTCATGTTGATGTGTTGTTGGACTAATGCAGCTTAAATGAGAAAACAATGATGTGATTGTGGTACCTCCAGTGTCAATCAGTCATCTCACTGAACTGCTTCCCGTATGGGAGATGAAGCACGAGCTTCTGTACTTCTGTTTTTCAATTTCAGAATAATCAAACAAAAGGGAATATAAAAGACAGCCCACTCTCTCTCTGGCAAAGCAATTACATTCAGGGTGAGATCACGTGTGTGTAATGTGATAAATCTCTTTACGTGGGGGATTAAGATAAGACGTCCCTTTGCATTCCTTATTCCTTGTAGAGCCCGTCGCTGCAGTTTAATTAAATGTGACCAACTACTGTATTATTGCGGACTCATTTGGAAGAATCCATCTTCTAACAGCCAGACGACTGCTCAGCTGGTATTCAGACAAAACTGGTCACTGGTAAAAGAAAAAACCTGAAATCAAGGAGGATTTTTAGAGGGGTTTTTCATCTGGAACTGACTCATTACGCTCTGCAGAAGTGCGGTTTAATGGAGGCTTACACTCACTTTGGCTCTCATGCATTTAGTGTAGTGCCCAAAAAAACATTATGCATCCTAAAAGCTCTTTTATTAGTTTGATATTATTCGAGGGGAAATAGGAGATCACTGGTTTGACAGAGGAAATGGATTAGTTCAAACAATAAATCGGTTTCTAACCTTGAAACGTTTTAATAGAAATGGTGAGTCAGCCGCACTCGTGGTCTTCTTTTTGGCACAGCAGCAGGCAGACCTTGACAAAAAATTCAATCTCCACCGAGAATTTGTAAAAAGTACTTTGTGCTTTCCTTCCAAAAAAATCAGGTACACCAAGATGAAGACGGCCACCAACATCTACATCTTTAACCTGGCTCTCGCCGACGCACTCGCCACCAGCACCCTCCCCTTCCAGAGTGCCAAGTACCTGATGAACACGTGGCCCTTTGGAGAGGTGTTGTGTAAAGTGGTCATTGCCATCGACTACTACAACATGTTCACCAGCATCTTCACGCTCACCATGATGAGTGTGGACCGCTACATAGCCGTCTGTCATCCGGTGAGGGCCCTGGACTTCCGCACACCTGCCAAAGCAAAGCTCATCAACGTGGGCATCTGGATCCTCTCCTCTGCTGTCGGAGTCCCTGTAACGATCATAGCTGTTACCAAGGTTACAGATAAAGGTGAGAGATTTTTAGTGTTGAAAAAAAAGAAAAATTACAATCACTGTGTAAAAACTTTGAATATCAGCACAAGCTTTATAGTGTCGTAAAAGAGAACATTTGCACTGTGTTATTAACCTGTATTAGCTTTTACACCTGGCCCTCTATTAACTTATAATTGTTTTAACTCCTCAGGAAACACCAGTTGTGAACTCAGATTCCCCAAACCTGAGTGGTACTGGGACACGGTGATGAAAATCTGCGTTTTCATCTTCGCCTTCGTCGTTCCTGTCCTGGTCATCACCATCTGCTACGGTCTGATGATCCTGCGGCTTAAGAGTGTCCGTCTGCTCTCCGGCTCCAAAGAGAAGGACAGGAACCTGCGCAGGATCACCCGCATGGTCCTGGTGGTCGTGGCAGCCTTCATCATCTGTTGGACTCCCATCCACATCTTCATCATCGTCAAGACCATGGTGGACATCAACCGCAAGAACCTCCTGGTGATGGCCTGCTGGCATCTGTGCATTGCGCTGGGCTACACCAACAGCAGTCTCAACCCTGTGCTGTACGCCTTCTTGGATGAGAACTTCAAAAGGTGCTTCAGGGATTTCTGCCTGCCCTATCGCTCCCGCCTGGATCAGAACAGCTTCTCCAGGGCACGCAATACCACGAGGGAGCCCATGTCTGTTTGTGCTCCTGCGACGACACAGAGACCGCCGGCCTGACTAGGCATGGATCAGCGGGGAGGAAGAACACTTCAGGACGACCTCCAGACTGAGGTCACACAGTTCTCCACCACAGGAGTGTGAGTCTGCAGATGGAGGCTTATGACCTCCCATTTATTTAAATCATTGATTTACGATCTCATATAATGAAAACCCTGTGTCTCAGGAGGTTTGTGAGGCACGGCTCTTCACGATGATTGCAAACATGCCTGTGTGTGCCTGTGCATAAGGAGATGGATACAAATGTACATGCTTGGAGTGTGTATGAAGCACATGCATAATGCACCCATATGAACAAGGTCAGTGTTAAAGGGACAGTTCGCCCCAGAGTCAAAAACATATATTTTAACTCTTACCTACAGTCTTATTTATTAACCCTATGGGCCCGAACGACACATAGTGTGTCCAAATTCACACCTGTTCTTCTCTGTGGATTTTCTCCACGACCTTGCGTCATAGCGAGAAGCCACATGACCAAGCACTTGTCAGTAGTCCAATGTTTTCACAGCGAAAAAAAAAGATAAAATTACACTAAAATTATGTATAACAGAGCTTTCATACAGCTTTGCACACACATCATTCTTGGATGGATTACTCGCGAACGCAGGTTCGCACAGAAATGCTACGCATATCACATGAAAGCGCAGGAGCAGAGCTTTCCACATCATTGTGCTGTCATCCCATCATGCTATAAATCCAGATTAATTGTCTACAACATAAAAACCTGACGAATTTCTTTACAATCCATTATACGGATCTTGTTATCAGTCACTTCATATAGTGAGGAATATCGTATCTTACCACGTCTTAGGCTTGCGTGTGTTTCTCCCTGTCTATCCACATTTGTAGTCAGGCTTTCAAGATGCAAATATCTCCATATGGTCCAGTTGACACTCCATCAAACTTTGTATGACAAGACCAGCCACTTCACCTTTGCGCACCCAGACAACTGCAGCCTAATGCATGCTGACAAGGCCATAGTCACCATATACACTGAGTGGGAAAATGTGTCCCCCCAAATGCCCAAAATGTGATACAGTTGGCAGTTGTATCTCAGTAGAAAGAAAATCATTTGAACATGAAATTGCTCACAACAAGGTCTGTGAATTAGGTGGATATATTTACAGCTGATACCTCCAACATTCAGCAACACACACCAAAAAATCTAGAATAACAAAAAGCACTACAGGTAAGAGGAAACATATGTGTGTGATATCGGGGTGAACTGTCCCTTTAAGCACACATGGTGCAGTCAGAAAGCATTGTGATAGGGATGTGTTTTTTATTGCTTTGGCTCTGCACAATAAAACAATAGGAGGTTAAAGTACTGACTCTAAGGTATAAAGGTGTCTGTAGGTCTTCCCATCCATATTAGGTGAACAATGTTGGACTCTGTGTTTACACAGTCCCACAGTGATCAGATTGTTAAGCAGGACATAGATACTAAACACACAGACAAGGCCACCAGGAGATGTCTTTTTATGGCCAAACAGTGGCCAATGTTTGATTGGCCTGAGTCGGTCACGTGACCTCAATCCAACATATCATGTTTTTCACTTGATGAAGAGCAGACATACTCTGAAAATCCCCAGTAGCAGCGTGAAGTGAAGATGGCTGCAGCACAGCGCTGGCAGAGGATCAACAGGGAAGACACTGTGGATGTCTGTGGGTCACAGACTTCATTTGTCTTCAGCTAAATGTTGCCTGTGATTACTTTATTTAGATTTATGTAAAATTACTTTCTATTCCCTAAAACTGGGGTAGCATTTGTACATTTGGTTGATGTAACACTTTCGAATTAAACCTACTTTTTCAGCCACTTGTAGGCTGAGGAAACAGCTGTAAACACAACACTGACATATTTTTAGGTTGGTTATTTACACATTCAGCAGTTTTAAATTGGGTATTTGGCTACTTGACAAATGTAAGCTGAATATTAAGCTTTCTTTTAGCTCCGTTTTTGTTCTCCACCAACTCCTAAAGGGAAATATGTGGTTCTTTAGCTGCTAAAGGCTCTACTGTGTTCACCAGCTAGTTGCTAACTGTGTCTGCCTGCTATTCATTGTTAGGAAGGTAATATAAAGTCAGTTTTTAGAACTGTTTTGCTGAAAACGACGCTATGAGAGCAGTGAGAGTGAAACAGTAAAGTTGCGGCCCTGAAAACCAAAACAATAAGCTGAAAGACGCTATAATTCCTCATAAAGCTAATGGAAAATGTGGGTTTGTCATCATGATTGACCCCTTTTACATGACTCATTTCACCCATTGTTGCTTAAAAAAATGTTTTTCATAGAGGCTTTAAAGCTGAATTTACTTTAAGTTGGGATTTTAATGTCAAAGTGTTTAATTTCACTTCCAAAGGCGTACCGAGCCAATGCAATAAAAGATGTGTCTCCATCTTTATGCTGTCTGACTGCACTGTCTGTCTCGACTGCTAATAGTATTGTCCTTGTCATTCTCATTGGGGAGGCAATGAGAATCCAATAATGTGAATGTTTAGCGGAGACTATATTTTCCTTGTCTTTGTTACATTCAAATTAAAGGATGTATCCAATTTCATGCTCGTTGTGATGGTAAGTGGAGAAATAATTACAGATGACAGCCACATGCCTAATCAAGAACAATTTTAAAGGAGGGTAAACTCAATGTGGGCACAGCGCCATGTGTCAGTGTCATTTTTTCCACTTTAATTCATCCGATCTGATCGTGACAGATCCTTGTGAAAGACACTTTTTAATGTTATTAAAGGTTTCTGCTTAATCACGAAAGCTGAAACGACTGACGCTTGCAGCATATATTCACCGTGAACATCAGTGTTCAGCTGACTCACTGTTTCCACTCCTCTGGCAGTTAAGATGCTCTGATTTATTTTTTTTTCTGCACAACTGAAAAACATTCAGCTGACGGTAAATTGAGGAGCTGAAGGGGGAGAGTGGCGCTGCTGTTTCAGCTCATAGTTGTGACTGAATGATCTCAAACTGGCACAGACTCTGAATCAGATGAGACACATTAGCAAGGAACCAGAAACTTCCTACACATATTACAGCTAATGGACAAGTTTCCAGTGATGATCTCTGGACACTTACAGGAGAAGATTAGGGTGGTGAGAAGACATTTTTGTTTTGCACATCTTGAGAGAAGAGCTGATGCGTCTCATCGTGCCACTGCAGCAGTACAGTCTTATTTAAAAAAGGCATCTATATATGAAGTGTAAAGATATTGTTTTGTAACAGCATTTTAAGTGATAATGTGATTCTTTTTTTTAATGTGCTGTCAAGCTGTTGTACCATTACGCTTCACTTGTAACCAATTAGTAAAATCAAATGTTATAAAACTATGTATTTACACTAAGTGCTACAAATGTAAGTGAAGCATTTGAAATTTTCAAAAAAATATTTATTGTTCCTGTCTGGATTATCTCTTTTTTTACTGCCATCACTGTAGGAGGAGCATTTGTAAATGTTATTTTCTGCAGTGTGGTCAACATGTTCAGCTAATTGAAAATATGTACCGTATTGCCTTATTCAGCATTATGGTTTTTGCAAAATGTGAATTGTTTTGTTGAGAAAAAGTGCTTGATCTTTAAATGTTTTTACATTCTTTCTTCAGCGGCTACAGTATATATAAAGTACCTTATTGTATAGGTGTAGTGATTGCTTTACTTTTGAAAACATTTATACAAATGTCATATGAAACAGCATAAGTTGTATCTTGTAAGTGCTTTTTTAGTTTGGAAATGTTGTTGTAAAGAATTTTCAGTTTTAATCCAGTATTTTGCTTTCTGTGGTTGTTAATGCAGATGTTGTTAACGTTGGTTGTGAATGCCAGTGAGGCCTCATGGGAGTCAGACATGTGATGTGTTCGTACAGTCCAGAACAGTTTATTGAATGGGGCTGATGGAGCCCAGGGGCCTTTGACCTGGAAGCCCCTGAAGGTCAGAGGCCACTGGTCATATGACACATCTACAGCATGTGTGTGTGTATGAAAGCACAATATAATGCAATTCAGGGATGATACTGGGGTTTGGAGAATAAGCTAATTTTCCAGTGTATCCATTAAAGAATAAGGCTGGTCATATTATATATATATTTTATTGTCAACAAATCCTTTGACAACAACAAAAAATCTTTAGCGTCTGTCTCTCAATACTCAATCCTTACCAAAAAACAAACAAACCAAAAAGCTGAGGTCATGAATATATACTTTTAATAAAAATACCTTGTATTCAAACAGAAGTAAACAGTGCATTTGTTTGGGACTATTTTTAGTGGCAGATTTGGAGCTTTAGTTCTTACAGCAGCAGGATAGTGTTTGTGGAATCTAAAAGTGCCCATGTTAATCATAATGAATCACATCAGTGTGACTCATACATGTGCTTTAAATATTTTTATTTTTTTATTTTTTGGGGTGGAGTGGGGTAATGAACCTGTATGGTTAAGATTAATAAGATACAGTATATCAGGCTTTAGCTTGTCAAGAAAAACTGTCTGTATTTTTATTAATTAATTAATTAAAATGTTTAAAAATGAAATATAGATGTCATGTTAATTATACATACATGATATGAGGCTAATACAGTGTAAACAATCCAGAATCATCTTTCATCTTTCTTTCCATTCTCGCTTTGTCTCCCTCCCCCAGCACCATCTGGTTGCCTTTTCACTAACCGTTAAATGCAATTGCTTTTGTTGTACACTTTTGTACAGTTAGGTTACAGACTCTCTCTCTACCTCCCTAAACCCATAATTTGAGTGTAATTCATTTGCCAGAAGAATAGACAAAAACACACAATAAACAACAAAGCTGCACTGGGTTAAGGCACTATGTAGTTAATTGTAAAAAATCCTGACACCCTGATGAAGACTCTCTAGTCGAACGTGTTGGTTTATCCATGTATTAATAAAGGATATTATAATAACTACAGTCAGCCTGCCTGTACCATGGACTTTTACACTGAGTGAGCTGGCCAGTCGTTGTTTTTTTTTCATCTTTAAAGATGAATTTGACTGCTTTATTTTTATTTTTCAATTTTTTTTTTAGCATGCACTCTTTTTGGCCACAACAATCATGTAGTGAAAATCCAATATCGTGTCAGCCAGATAAAATAATGAACAAAACACCAACAGGTTGAAGATTCTGCACAGTAAGAGTCACCTTTAACACCAAACCACTAACGCTCAGATATCTGAGGGAAAAGTCATGCCTCTGACGAGTGACAGACAGATAAGCATCTTTTCATGGTTTTCCAAAGAACAAGATCTGTTTGTCTGATAAACATGGGTTGCATGTCAGCTGGACATTTGACCTCTTCATATAGAAGGAAACACCAAAACGGACAAGGTCTGTGTGGCAGAGCATGTGATCTGCATCTGACATGTTTTCCAGTCTTTACCAAACAACATGTAACTTCAATAATTATGGTAA